TTGAATAGACGATTATGTGTGTAAATGATGGTCTGCACTGTGTGTAATGAAATTTGTACAATAACAAATAATGTGTCGGTTATTGTGAAATTTTTTTTCTTTTTCTTTCTCTCTCTTTGTCACAGGTTTGTTTCGCAATAACATGTACTGCTATGCAGAGAAAACATTAGTCATGCAAGCATTTTTACCCACTCGCCATTCTTTTGATACGATGGCGGTATTTTTTTTGAATATTCTCGAATCTTCTTAACTTCCTTATCTTTTTGCAATACTGACTCCTACTCTTCGTCTCTAATAATCTCAATATTTGTCTCTTAGGTTCGCTATCCAAGAAAAAAAAACAAAAAAATTATGCGAAAAACGAAAAAATTCACTTTATGAAGCACATGAACCAGAAAGAAAAAAAAGGAAGTTACCTATTTCCTGTTGGTGTATTGAGAGCAGAAGCTAAGGAAATGATTGAAAAAAATCGTCCCGTCAACGTATAATATGACGATTAAATTTTTATCTGCAAACTCTTATCTGGTACGGAGTTCTGCCATGCATAGTTTTCAACTACGGATAATATTCTATCTTCTGCTGCACTTTTTCACGCAGAAGAGAAAAGACGCTTTGTAACAAATAGTAATAATTTATTGATGATTTTGGCTAATTCAAATGAATCTATGAGCGATATCACATCAAAACAATGTCGCAATAGTTTAATGTTGGAAGTGATCAAGCACTTGAAACAGACAACTAATTGAGTGTTTGTATCTCAGAGTAGTATTGTTGAGAACAATAAAAAGGATGTGGATATTGATAACAGTGGGCGTGTGGTTTTTCCCGTTGTCTATTAAATAACTCACACTGAAATCCTCAGACCCACATCCACATCCATACTCTCATTGGGTTTAATTAGTGCTACTTTTCATCAATGTAATTTGTTTCTCTAGTTGCATGAATTTTATAGCATTTTTTTGCTAGTAACAACCCATAGTTGGTCGTATGAATGACTCATAGAAATTGTTTTTAATTATTGAAACGACAAATTGCCACTGACTGCGATTGCCTCATTCATCGACATATATTCTTGTTGCTATTCATCTCTTTAAATCGTTCGTTTAGTTTTCGACATTTTTTTAAGTTGTAAACTATTAATGAAAATATGGTGGCTAACAATCACAGCTAGCTATTGCTAATTGTCGTTCTGGATGTGGGATGGGTGTAGCTGAAGAGAAGACCCATACATCCACATTCCGAGAAGAGCTGGCTTTTACATGCCTGATTCTATTTTGGTGTGGAAAAAATTTCACACGAAACGAAAATCATCTAATCAGAATATCTGGCTGGAGTAGTTTCTACACTGTAAAAAAAATTCGTAGAATAATAAACCCAAAAAGGGTTGATGAAAGTGCAACGTATAATAAACCCTTTTTACCGTATGTAAAATTTTCCTAAACCCTTTTTAAGGGTTTAATAAAGGGTTTAGGAAATTCATAAACCCTTTCATATACCCTTTCAAAGGGTTTAGGAAAGGGTTTAGGAAGTTCATAAACCCTTTAAGGGTTTATTATACGTTGCACTTTCAACAACCCTTTTAAGGGTTTAGGAAAATCATAAACCCTTTCATATACCCTTTCAAAGGGTTTAGGAAAGGGTTTAGGAAATTCATAAACCCTTGCATAAACCCTGAAAAACGGTTTATGACGGCCACTAAGTACGGATAGGATTCAGTAAAGGGTTTAGGAAACGCTCATAAACCCATGTTGGGGTTTAGCGAAGGGTTTATGACGCACTCATAAACCCATATAAGGGTTTAGGAAACACACATAAACCATTGATAGGGTTTAGAAAAAGTTCATAAACCCCTGCAAGGGGTTTCGAGACAGTGAACCAAAATGGCTCACAATCAAAACAGGTTATGAGGCGTCCTGCTTCAGCGTGTCTCAGTTTCTGCTTCCAGACGAGCAAATGACTTGAAGTTGTGTTTGTATCAAGACTTAGAAACTGTGCATGTTCTCTGAAACGAGGAGTCTATTCAAAGTGACTTCGACGAACCAGAACGGAAAAGTTAAGAGAGCCAAGTATAGCATGAATGACGCTACATTTGACAATTTCAACTTTTCCGTTCTGGTTCGTTGAAATCACTTTGAATAGACTCCTCGTTTTAGAGAACATGTACAGTTTCTAAGTCTTGATACAGATACAACTCCAAGTCATTTGCTCATCTGTAAACAGAAGCTGATACACACTGAAGCGGTACGCTCTAAAATCTGTTGTTCCCGATGCTTTTTCATTTGATGTTACGACGGACCTAAACATAAAAAGAAAAATATTCAAATCGATAAAGCTTACCGTTTACTCTCCACAATTATGCCATCGAGCTGGACCAAAATTCACATAATACTGCATATCCAATTTTAAATTGGTCGTTTCTCTTGATAGTAACGTTCAATAAAATGTTTTCAAAGAAAAACTGAATTTTTCGTTCAAAATCAATTTCCAATACTGCAAAACAATTAAAAAAAATATTAGAATTAATTTTTGCTTACCTTTTCATATTGAAGTTAATTGTATGTGAAGAAGGAAAATTGTTTTTTTTGAATCAATTTTTCTTGATATAATGGTATTCCAGTTCATCTAATCTAAAGCAAGAAAAATAGTAATATACAAAAGTAGTTTTTACTTACTTAGAAAAGATACAATCGTCTTTTATCTAAAGAAATAAAAAATAAATATTAGGTTAATTTTTGCTTACCTCTTCATATCAAAGTTAATTGTATTCGAAGAGCAGAAGATTTTTTTGAATCCATTGGTCTTAATCTAATGATATTCAAAGTCGTTCTATCTAAAGAAAGAATATAAATAATGTACAAAATTAGTTTTTACTTACTTAGAAAAGATTCAATCGTCTTTTATCTGAAGAAATAAAAAAATATTAAGTTAATTTTTGCTTACCTTTCCATATTGAATTTAATTGTATCTGAAGAAGGAAAAATGTTTTTTGAATTGGTTGTGGTTGACCTAATGATATTCAAGTTCATTTGATCTAAAGAAAGAAAAATAATAATATAGAAAACTAGTTTTTACTTACTTGGAAAAGATTCAATCGTCTTATATCGAAAGAAATAAAAAAATATTAGGTTAATTTTTGCTTACCTTTCCATACTGAATTTGATTGTATCTGAAGAAGGAAATTTTTTTTCTCAATGAATTGTTGTTCATCTAATGTTATTCAAGTTCTTTCGATCTAAAGAAAGAAAAATAATAATATGCAAAACTAATTTTCACTTACTTAAAATGTATCAATCGTCCTTTATCTAAAGGAATAAAAAAAAATGTTAGGTTAAATTTTGCTTACCTTTCATATTGAAGTTAATCGTATGTGAAGAAGGAAAACTGTTTTTTCAATCAATTGTTCTTCATCTAATGATGTTCATGTTCGTTCTATCTAAAGAAAGAAAAATAATAATGGACAAAACTAGTTCTCACTTACTTAAAAAAGGTTCAAACGTCTTACATCTAAAGAAATAAAAAATAAATATTAGGATTAATTTTTGCTTACCTTTTCATATTGAATTTGATTGTATCTGAAGATGGGAAATTTTTTTTTAATCAATTGTTCTTGATCTTATGATATTCAAGTTCGTTCTATCTAAAGAAAAAAAAATTAATAATGCACAAAACTAGTTTTCACTTACTTAAAAAGTATCAATCGCCTTTCATCTAAAGAATTAAAAAACATACTAGTTTAAATTTTGCTTACTTTTTCATATTGAAGTCAATTGTATCTGAAAAAGAGAAAATATTTTTTGGATCAGTTGTAGTTGATATAATGATATTCAAGTTAGTTCTGCCTAAAAATAGAAAAAGGATAATGTGGAAAGTTACTTTTTAGTTGCTTGAAAGTTAGAATCATATTTTATCGAAAGGAAGTGAAAGAAATATGAAAATTAATTTTCTGTTATCAGGATGGTAGTGAATCTTGTTTTCTCTATATGAAAAATAATAATAATGTTGAAATTACGGTACTACTATTTCAAGTGACGAATTATGGAGAAATGGAAATGAACAGCAAGACAATGTGTAGAAAGAAGCTTTAAATGTGTTCTGGCTGTTGATGAAAATGAATGAGGGAAAGATCTTTCCATTTGCAGTGATATTATTAGTTTTATTTGGAATCGTTTTAGGTTTTCAGCCAACTTCAGCGTTGCAATAATAAGAGGACAATGTGTCTATGAGCTTGTTGGTGGTATAACTTATAAGTCAATACGAGAGCCGATTTAATCAGGACACGCGAATATAGAGCGGCATCTATGTTTCTGATTGGTGAAAAGGAAAGATCTATGATTGCGTTGATTTGATTTATACTGAAGATGCCTAAAAAGATTCTATTCGAGTGACAGATTGAAAACGTGCTTTTTTGCAGTTGGAATCATTTTAATTTATTTCGGTGACAATCTTTAAGTTCTTGAAATATAGATGATACAACGAAATTGATCTTATATTATAAAAAATACTAAGAACAGAGAAATTCTAAAGAAAAATATGAATATGTCTATTGAGTTAAAATTTTTATAAAATGATATTGTCGTTGATATAATGATTTAAGGGCTTGTTTATAATTAATTAATATCTGTGTATAGTAGCTAATTTGAAATCTTTTTTTTCATGATTTAGAAGAAAAAAATAATGCACGATCAAGAATAGAGTTTCATATTTCATCAATGTTTATTTTTTTTTCATATCTTAGAAAAACATCATATATGTACAATATTTCATTCATTATGTTCATCTTAATGACGTTTCAAGTTTACATTAAAAAAAAAGTATAAAAAATACTAAATAGTACAAAAACAATATTAACTGTTAATCACAATGTATATAGATTAGTAACGACGTTTTCGTTTAATCTTGTGACGAGTACCAACATGTAAATTTGTATCAACTAAAGAATTAATACCATTTTGTGAATCATCATCACTATCAAATGTTAATGCTTTTTTCTTTACGACTTTTCAAAAATGTTCAGATTTTTTTTGACAATCAACATTTGATGAAGATTTTTTAACTGTATCATCGGACCTATGCATAGAAAAATTATAACATTTTTAAATTCATGTACAAATATAATACTTACTCTGTAGATGTAATAGTTGTATTGATTTTTAAATTATTATTATGTAATGAATAAACATCTTCAAGTGGAGCAGATAATAAATTAGAACTAGCTTGTGATGAAGGATGTGTATCATTAGTAACAGCTGAGTGACTGTTTGAAATCAAATTTGTACTTTCACAGATTTTTCGATTTTGTTCAGTATAAATTTCAATATTCTTTTCCTTGATTAGACTACACATTTTATTTGATAAATATCTTGTATCACCAAACATGATTGCATATAAAAATAGTATTGCTCGACCATTTTTAAGATTTAAGAAAATTTAGTTCGAAAACGACATACATTGCTAGTACAAGTGCTAATCCATCATCAGGTGATGTTATTGAAATAATTGAAAGAAAATCTGTAAACACAGTGATTGTATTATCAGTAAACACCATTGATGGATATAGACTTGATGGTGACTAGAAAAAAAAGTATTCACGATTAGCAAACCAAAAAATGCTTGTGTGCTATATATCCACAATATATTGATTATTCTGGCCAACTCGTGTGAAAATATGCTGAGACTATCATATCATTCTACATAAATTAGTTTATTATAAACTGGGCATTTTTTTATTAAGTGATATTTTGTTTAACATTAGACTGACAATTAAAAAAATGAAATTATTAATTATATATATTTGACTTGTATTAAATTAAAGTGAAAGAAATTTATATTTATTTTGTTAAGACTTTTTTCGAAAACACTTGATGAATGTTAAAACTATTTTGTTTTACTTCGAAATCATTTTATATCGTGTAAATCTTATTCTGAAGAAGAACATTGAATTTGTAGTACATGAAAACTAAAATAAATTTATATTTATTCCAATTAGAACAAAATAATTTTAAGTTCACCAAGTGTTTTTGAGAAAAAATCTTAACGAAAGAAATATAAGTTTGCTTTACTTTGATTTAATACAAGTCAAATATAAATAATGAATAATTTTAATTTAATTTTAAGTTTAATGTTAAAAAATAGGTTTCGTAACAAGTATTTATATTATAATAATTTAAGCTGAAATTCATTTATATTTATTCGCTTTAACATTTTTATACAAGAAAAAAATTAATTGAAAATATTTATCTTTTTTAAGAATATTACTTTTCATCTTTATTTAATTTATCTATTAACATCTTACATAAAATTGAATTTTAATTTAAGATTACGATAAAATCTTTTTTTTTGTATGAAAATAATTTTTTAGAATGTGCAACGATCAAAATTATCTTATTGCATACAATAATTATTTTTTTGAAATTTTTTTTGTTATTATTTTAATTGATTCCTTAGAATAAATCGTCGCAAAATATAAAACTTTAAAAAGATCTCCAAATACGAACCGAGTTATTTTTTTACGTAAAATAATTTTTTTTATTTTTCTCAATAAATTCTATATCAGAATATCAGTAACACAAATGCTATAAAAGACGATTCATATACTTCTTTTTATCCGATCGAAATTGCTGATATCAAGAATTTGGCTGATGTTCGGAATCAAAGTTAATAGAATAGTTAGTAAAGTGCATTATGATGCACTTCTCAGCACGCGTGCGTCATGCTAATGCCAAAATTTTACAATAATCAAAGAGTAGTCAACATCCAAAAGTAGAAAAGTTATTTTTTATATCATAAAACAAGAAGCTTTTCATGAAAAAGCATACTAATATCCCCTTGAACATAGAACAAAAACTTTTAATCAAAAGAAATGTTGATATATTCTCGAATATAAAATAAAACACCCTTTTCATGAGAAGGCAGAACAATAAACCCTTTTTATGAAAAGGTAGAACAATAAACCCATGACCGTAGAATAATAAACCCTTTTCATGAAAAGGTAGAACGATAAACCCTTGATCGTAGAATAATAAACTCTTTTTATGAAAAGGTAGAACAATAAACCCTTGACCGTAGAATAATAAACCTTTTTTATGAAAAGGTAGAACAGTAAACCCTTGTCTGTAGAATAATAAACCCTTTTCATGAAAAGGTAGAACAATAAACCCTTGGCCGTAGAATAATAAACCCTTTTCATGAAAAGGTAGAGCAATAAACCCTTGACCGTAGAATGATAAACCCTTTTCATGAAAAGGTAGAACAATAAACCCTTGGCGGTAGAATAATATACCCTTTTCATGAAAGGGCAGAACAATAAACCCTTGATCGTAGAATAATAAACCCTTTTCACGAAAAGGTAGAACAATAAACCCTTGACCATAGAATAATAAACCCTTTTCATGAAAGGGTAGGACAATAAACTCTTGGCCGTAGAATAATAAACCCTTTTCACGAAAGCGTGGAACAATAAACCCTTCTTCACTAGTCATAAACCCTTTTTATTTTCAAATACCTTTTTTCTCAGAAACCCTTTCGCACAAAAACCCTTTAAGGGTTTAATA